CCTCTCTTCAACTTGGAGGTTTCTTTCTCGAGCTGATTATCGAAATTCGATTTAGCTCGTTCAGCCGTGTTCGCGATCTCTAATTGACGTCAGGACGATGATGAATACTAGCTGGCTGCGTCACAGCGTGGCGGTGAAAGCTGAATTGGACTTCCAGACCAGCCGGTGGACTTGGCCAGTATTGTTCTTTATATGCATGAGATAACCGAGCGTAGCAACTGTCCACGAGGCCAAGATCTGGTCTTCCATACTTTGGTTTCTCTCATTTTTGAACCGGCGAAATAGAAAAGGGATTTAGAGTCAAATTAAGCTATGGATCCCAATCGGCTACAGCCGCAGCCGCCGCCGCGACCGGACGTGAGGAGGGGACTGCTCGGAAGTCTGACTGCTGCATCAGCTGCAGCGTACAACTTTCTCGCTCATGACTACGAGTACATGCCGGACCGATACTATGACGAAAAGGCCTTTCCCACTCGGTTATCTCGGGCCGGCACCAGCATCCGACTAGGAGCCCCGCGCGGCCGTAACATTCTGCCGCTGAGACCGCCGCCCATCCGGAAGAGGACCTGGCAGAAGGATAGCAGCACTGGAGAGCTCCGCACCAAGTCGTTTGAAGACTCTCAGTACAATCAGTATGACGAGGGACGTGGAGGCCAAGACCGGAATCCTTTCGACGATTCCAATGAGATGGGGAGTCAGCAAGACGACGACAACGATGATGGTAATGATGAACCGTTTTCGGTCTTCACCAAGAGGCACAAGTGGTTTATTCTAGTTATTATTGCTTCTGCGGGTCTCTTCTCCGGGTTATCGTCCAACATTTACAACCCTTCCTTGGATGCAATATCCAAGGTGAGTGGAAACTATCCGTCATTCTTTCAAAGCAATTCACGCGCCCTGCAGATGCTAACGTACGATCCAGGAGCTGAAGGTTAGCGCATCACAAGTGTCACTCACAATCACGTCTTACTTGATCATGCAAGCCGTTACACCGCTGCTATGGGGCCCCATGTCTGACACGCTCGGCCGGCGACCAACGTACATCGCTTCCATGGGCGTTTACATTGGCGCCAATATCGCGTTGAGCTTCTCGCCAAACTACGCGGTATTACTCATTTTCCGGGGTCTCCAAGCTGCAGGAAGTGCCTCAACTGTCAGTATCGGTAGGTGTTCCGACTTAGCCATCTCTTCAGTTTCCAAACTTGGCAGCTAACGTGTCTGGTGTGACAGGGAACGGTGTTATCCAGGATATCTCTCCGACGGCCGAAAGGGGGGCATACATCAGCTTCTATCAAGCGAGTGAGTCGTGGTACTCTCTGCTGGGGTCTTGAACGGCATCTAATTCTTTGTAGTCCGAAATTTCAGCACAGCGATCGGCCCGCTGTTAGGAGGTGCTCTCGCCAATTCCTTGGGCTTTCGATCCGTGTTTGTTTTCTTGCTCATCGCCACGTCGCTGATTCTCATCACTATCATGGTATTCCTACCAGAGACTTTGAGAACTATTGCTGGCAATGGATCCCTCCGTCTGAACGGCATCATCTACAAGCCGCTCTACAGATATGTGACAAAGGAGCCAAAGTATATGGAGGATCCAGATGGACCTTTGAATCGCAAGATTACCATTTGGACCTTTTTGAGGCCGTTCAAGCTCTTCAAAGAGAAGGACTTGGTGATCAACCTCGTCTGGGGTGGTGTGATCTATGCCATCTGGAACATGGTAACGACCAGCACAACTCCACTGTTCAAGGAGCGGTTCGGACTGAACGAACTCCTTCTTGGTGTAGCATTCATACCCAATGGTCAGTAGAAACTACCCCTTCCGAACATCAATCACTGATTGGATGGCTTGAACTCCGATGGAAGCGGGACTGCCCGGACGTGACTGACCTGTGTGGGTAGGAATTGGGACCATTGTCGGCTCCGTGTTTGCGGGCAAACTTCTGACTCGAGACTACAAAGCCGTTGAGACCAAATACAAGGAAACCCATAACATCCCTTACGACGAGGAACTGTCACCCAAAGATATTGCGCCGGATTTCCCTTTGGAGCAGGCCCGTCTGAGACGCCTCCCGTGGATAGTCTTCCTATTCGTTGCCTCTATCGTCGGCTACGGTTTTTCTTTGGCGTATCCCAATGCAATATCCCGACCGGGATGGATTGCGTTGCCCTTGGCAATGCAATTTCTTATTGCCGCATCGGCGAACGCCATCTTTGCGCTGAACCAGACCATCATTTCGGATCTTTGTCCCAGTGAGGGCGCGAGTGCCACAGCCATCAACAATGTGGTCCGCTGCGGGCTGGCAGCTCTCGGCGTGGCATTCGCAGAGCAGATGCTCAACGCCGTTGGCCCTGGCACCGCGTTCCTTGTCCTCGGCATGGCGGTCATAGCTGTGTCTCCCATTCAGGTTGTCAATCAATTCTGGGGGCCCAAGTGGCGGGCTCAGAGAGAGAAGAGGAGGTCAAAGGTTGGTGTACAAGATCATCCAGACCGGCAAAAAGCCTAAAGCCTATTCTTCTTACCGATTGTGATTGGGGTATGACCACGAGGGACGTTGATTTGCATTTTTGAGCGAGGCGTTCTAGACATACACGAACCATCAACCGCGCCAGAACGGTTCTCGTCAGCGTCTGCATTTGGGAGAGCGGCCTCCACCTATCACGGTGCGTACATGTAGACCTCAGAAACACAAACAATAGTCATTGAGCGATCAATACTTAAGCCAGAGCGACTCATCATATTTTGATGAGGCGGGCCTACGAGCACCCTAATTCACAAGCCTGTCTTTCTTTCCATCAATTCGGCTACTTCATCGGGCGAAAGTTCCGCCTCAGGACTGGGTATCGTCATTTTGCCCTGATGAATTGCCACCGGCCACTCTCAATGATCAACAATTTAACTAGGATGGCCTGTCACTTGTCTCGATCTCTCTGGTTGCCTGTGAAGACAGAGTTCCTCTGAGGCGGTCCTTCCTGTAACAAGTCGTCTGGTGTTTCTGCTGAAACCTTCAAGCGTACAGCGTGCATCCCAGTTGGAATCTAATATGGTGCTCGAACGCCTGGCCTCGGTGGTCCGTACTTCATGCCTAAGACGCCGCATTGCTTTCCCGATGGAGCAAAGAATTGCGCCAATGATCGGCAAGTGAGTACCAGAATCCGTCTTCACGTGGGCTCTCGGCTCTTTGCCCCATTGGTATATGCATAGTTTGATGGATTAGACAGCTCACGTCAAAGGACTGGGGAAACGGGCTAGGACTTGCAGGCCATCTGACATGGAGAATTGGATGGCAATGTGCTCTCTCTCATAATTTGGCAGGTGCAAGTGAAGATGCAAATCTGCATTCCTTTACTAGCGCCAAGCAAAGGCCAAAGAAAATAATCTTGGTGATCGCCAGGTCGACGATGACCGAGACTTTATTGTCAGTCAGAACCTACACGTTACATTTGGCTGATATCCGCCGATCCAAAAGCATCTTCCGATAGTTCATGGTAATTGATTCAGGATCCCGTGGGTGCGGGCCCTCGGCCCAAGCCTATTGATCTAGGGGACCCCTGCTTCAAGCTTCAAGTTCGATTCATGGTCTTTACAACCCTGATTGGCGTATGGAACTTGAACTCGTTGACACGCAAGGTAAGATGATTACTCTATGGTATACAATCCAGCGTACTGTGATTGATCACAATCTGCTGCTTTGTGCGAAAGGAAACACCTAAGCGCATGCAATTACTGATTTTGTGTTGGACAGAGTGCCGAACATTCTTCTCGTTCATGTCGATTTACACCCGTTTGTGTGAATACGAGGCAGAGCGGTTAAGCCTGATTCTCTGGAAAAGGACTCAAATGACTCTCGTTCACTGGAGGCTTTGTTTAGAAGTTGAGTCTACGTGGCGGGGCACTAAAAAATGATGTCAGGTTAAGTGAAATAATTCTACTCTAGAAACCAGAAGGCTCTGGGACGTGAGTTAGAGCATACTAAGGCTCTTATTTCTTCAATTCTGGATATAAAATGTTTCGAAACTGATAAGTTACGGCGGACGGAGGAGGGGTTTTCGACAGGCAGCCCCCTGCCGCCCTATCCTCACGGATGTCATCGCCGAATGGAAGCCATATCATTGCTTTTGATTACACGACTAAGTGTAGGCTATTCGCTTTATAGGAAGGAAGAACACATGGGCTGAGGGGGCTTGAACCGTCTAGAAACTAGGCGAAAATTGCTTATTGGAGCATAATGCACCACAACCTATCCGAGCCTTGATCAACCAAGGAGCATTCGACACCTTCTCAAGACTCCTTCTCATAAGCTAAGTTCATCCATCTATATCTTATCCACCTAGGCTATAAGTTACGGCTTGTTCAGACCTGCTCGATTCTATGAAAATCAATCCTCAACGCCAACCTAGCCACAATCAAGCTGGTTGTAGATTACAATCCCCTTGTTGAGGCGGATCACCTTTTTGCTTCCCACTGAGTTCTGTCTTACATCTAGGGTGCAGCAACCCTCTTGCCATCACTAAGTTCCCTTCCGCATTCTCTTGTGTCATATAGGTCAGCCATGAACCAAGCACCAACTCACGGCTTCGCAGAATTGGCTGTCTTGAAACTCTAGGATGTGCAAATATTTAACAATGTAAACTAATCTATGCCTATATCGGTCTACTGATCGCCCGTTATAATGAGCTCACTTGAAGACGGTAGGGTTCTGGATCCGCTTCCCTGGACTTTTTGACAATACTTGAGGCTGAAAGAATCTTTGCACCCTGGCCAGCAAGTCGAGCTGAGTTTCAATTTGTCAGTAACGCGGCAGAAATTTTGCTTCTACAAGTCGATCAAAAGCTAGGATGTAGCCTCTCCCCGGCTCTAAACTCTCAGTGAACCCAATGTCTCGAGATGCCGTCAGGTCATAGTCGATAGGAATCGGCGAGGTTAAAATGACAGTCAGTATATCCTAATCAACGTTTACGAGGGCGCTCCGTTCAAGACCATTCGTGATGACCCAGTCTGGCTACTTGTCTTTCCGAGCAATGAGACAGTTGATGCCAAATGTCTGGCTGGTGAGCTGCTCTGGTGGCCCGATTCCATTGAGGCCAAAATAGCTGCAAATAGATCGCCACTTCATCTCCCACGAGACAGAATCGCCATCTTCGATATTTAATGGCCGCTCATGAGTCTCCTACGAGTGCAAGGATACGTGAATATGGAAACGGGTTACCGGTCTTGAAAAGAATCGGTGTGCAGTGCCGTCCAGGACTCTTAGGTTCCTGGAAAGGGACAGGACGCTCCGTCACCATACGTAGAAAGATAGAATGAGTGATACAGCCCCAAGCTCTGTACCGCGTTTATGACGTTAGACTGGGGGACAAATCCAGGCTGTAGAGTAGGCCTTATCAGATGTGGCTGATACGAGGGAGTTGAGGAGGCGCGACTATTGTCGAAAAGTTCACCAGAAAGGACGGCCTGACTTCGACCCATTTCCACAAACTGTTAGCGGCGTCTCTACTTACACATCGCACTGGGAGAACTAGAAAATCTTAGACGCGTACGGTTCTGGCAAGCGGGCTAGGTCTTCCTTCCACGGTGCGGGAGGCCAGCCGAATCCTAGAATTCCGTGCCCCTAGGGAAGAAGCCTTTAGTGAAACTTAATTTTCGCAGCCGGAGTTTCACTCACCTTTCCGCCCGTCTGTAGGGAAACAATTTCGAGGTTCGGGCATAGATGCTTGACGGCTGCCAGACCATTGTCGATGATCGCAGCGTTGATCTTGACTGGGTTTTCTAGATCACTTTCATGGCCCGTGTACGCTGCAAGAAGTCTCTTGGCCAATCCATTTATGTGCGCTGTGCTTTGATAATCAAGCAAATGAAGTTGTACCTACCAGTAACGTATAAATGCAACACCACAACCTCTGGGATAGCCTTTGGCCTCTGCAGCGTCAAGTCAGCATCGGTAAGATCGAGTCCGGTATGTATCTTCAGTCTCGGATCGTCCTCTAACCGTGCCGTTTTCCTGCCCATAGGCCTCTTGCTCATGCCTATGAATTGACTGAAGGCGACTGTTGATGGGTAAGGTAGCTAAGACACTCGAGCATCAAAATCCAGCTGGACTAAGTTTTGAGCATGGAGAAAAAGCCAATGAATGTGCAACTTGGGAGGCTCACGATACCGGAAGCCCCAAATGTTATAGCACCATTTCTCTTCTCAAAGACCATCTTTGCGTTCTCTTTGGGATTATTGCATCGCGCTCCGTGCTCACAGTCCGTTGCATTCATAACGGCAGTGGCCGAAGGCTAAGGTATGTAGGCGACAACACTACTACATGCAGGATGTTCAAGAATTTGCCCATGCCGATAACTACCTATACCAAACCTGATTCCTGAGTTCTTTGCAAAGAAAAACACGGATCCTCTCGACTGAGATTTCAGAGCGAAGCCATTTTGACGTGGATTCTCGCTTTCGCTTTCGGGGTACGTTGAGGAGGCCGAAACGCGTATAGACTCCGCACACGCAGGGCTTCTAGAGCTTACAAATTTCCATCTTTCGTCCGTTTGACGGTCGAATATCGTTGCGTCAAGGAAACCAAGAAACATATTTAATCCAGAACCATTTCGGCGAGAAAGATGCGAATAAATAAGTAAGCTGTAGACACAAATCATTGATTTGCGAAGAAAAATACACCCTCCTCTAGTAGGATAAGAACCCTCCTACTTTAGGTATGTGCATATACTCAGCTATTGTACAAATATTCTGCCATTAGTTACGGCTACTGATATCGGGGTATTAAGACGGAAGATGTCAATCGAAGACTTAGATGGGAGGATCGTCCTGGCCTCAGTCACAGAAACAATCAATGCTCCTGCCAACGAAATTTGGCCGTTTCTCTCAGCGATCGGAGCTGAGCGGATCCTGATCCCGGGCTGCACCCGATCCGCAGTCCTGGAAGGATACGGCCAGGGCGCCGTCCGCCGCGTCTACTTTGGTGAGACCTACTTTGATGAGCGCATCGTCGTGTGCGACCACAACGCCTTCAAGCTGCAGTACGAAGTGCTTGAGCCGAGCCCGAGTCCGGCAATGGAAGTCCTTGCAGCCGTGCAGCTTCATCCTTCCGGTTCTGAGGAGACGATCGTCACCTGGGTATCTGGGGCCAGACGAGTTGAGCAACAGCACGAGGATAGCATTAAGCAACAGGCTGTGGGATTTTGTCACGGCCAGATCGCATCTCTGAGGAGGTTGACTCAGAACACCAAACCTTCCTCGTAGGCACTATTTCTTCAGCGATGTATGCAGCGCACACCGTTCTAAACAGTACATATTCAAATAGGCAGTTGGTAGGCAGCTGAATGGATGAGCTTGAAAATAAACTGCTCAGCGATTGGATTCCTCGGCGTTTCTCGTGACAAAAGCCCATTGAATGAGGGGTGATGATGTTTCTAGTTCTAGTAAAGCAACTCTTAAGTCTTACGCCCTTAAACCCACCAGGAACTCATTCGGCAGGAGTCTTTATCCAAGTGTGGTAAACAAGGCGTAATTTCTCGCTGGCAACCATGATTCTGTTTTTGTACAACACAGAGGAAACATCCATAGCTTAGGTTCAAGTTCCAACGAAAGCAGTAGAGTAAACCCGTGAAAATCTACAACACTCTGGGAACTCAGATCGCTTTCATAGCTTCCGAAGAGAGTTGAGATCATTCTTCCCAGTAGGCTGCCGTTTTATATCGCTTCTGAGAGATACCGACTGCAGATATTTCGCCATGAGCATTGATTCCGCCATGTCCTATCAGAGTCCTTCGTTGCACGTCAAAACAGTTCTCCTTCAAAACGTTGTCACAAAGGTTGTGGAGTCTCTTAACGGTTATATCGCAGTAAGTTGTCTCGTAAAGGGATACAATATCGTGGCCGTAAGACGTTGTACTGTTGCAAACCGACGACGCTGCATGTTCCTCAGCGCGGGTGACGATGAGATGAGTGATGTCAGGGTTTGTGCCTCGTCTCTTGGCCAACTTCTGTCTCTTGGCCTTTCGCTCAGACTCCGTCAAAGAACGTGTTACAATAGGCCGCGGGTCATGGTCGGCCATCTTGTCCCACTTGACCTTGTCAACTTCACGTTGTGTGTGCTTGTCCCGGCCTTCTTGTCCGGTGATTGCGTCCCGCTTGTACTCCAAGGGAGGCTTGAAATGTGGAAGGTTTGCCCCTGGCCGAAGTTGATACCAGAACGAGAAACGAGGAGTGCTATTACACAGGTATTCCTTGTACATCTCGACTTTATCTGGTGTTCCAAGCATATCGTTGAGATGAAAGCTCATGGCTCGCGCGTTGAGGTCGTCGTATGGTTCCATCTGAGGCTGATGGCCTCCTGCTCCGCTTTCGTCACCCAACATAATCGTAACCAGAGTATGGTCGACATGTTCCGTTGGGATGCCTTTGTCATGGAACCACATGAGATTGTAGATCCTATCGTTGATGCCGAAGAGAAATCTGAGGATCTTACGGCCTGGACTACCGGGTGGAAGCATCTTGGACTCGCTGAAGCTGGTGAACCGGGAAGTTGTACGATCCAAAGCTTTTCCAGCAGGAAAATGAAGATCCTCAAAAAGACACTATGCGGTAGAAAGCTGCATAATATCGAGACCGCATTGAGTGTCAGAGTAGTATACGACAGTGTTATGCTGTTCTCAACGGGTTCAAGGATTGCGATCCTCTTATGCTTTCCATTAGATTTCGAACAAGTATGCCTTCAACAATGGTGCTGAGCTCTTTCGCCGGTTTGAGCTCAGTAGTCTCTTCCCAGCACAATTGACACGTCGTACTTACTTGGCAAGGGTCGCAGAAGGATTATCTTTCTCTAAGAGGTTTCACGACGCAGCACTAGGCTTTGATAGAACAAAAGGCCTGTGATTCTAAGACCCATTCCATCCCTTACTGGGTTCTTCGGGCATTTCCATCCTTTCGCGTACATTCAAGATCAGTGTCCGGTTTTTGCTCTCAGAATATTCGATCAGCATCAGAAGGTCCCAATAGGACTTTGGCCATAGCAGGGATCATCAGCTACTTATCAGACTCTCTCTCTCAAATCATGCACCTAGGAACGAGATTGATACAAAAGGGGTTGGTCGAAAGATATTTTCTAGCTACTCGCTCGTGACGGCTGGAGAACTCACAGTCATGAAATCGTATCCTACACGCCAGTCATGGTTTATAAACAGCTTCAGTTACCAACATATAGTGCTCATATAGGTGCATGGTCAGCAAGATTGTCCGGTTAGTTGATCCACGTAATACAAACGGCTCGAGTAACGACTTCGCGGCAGGGACTATGGGCATGAGAGGGAGCACCACCTAGATTGTCACTACGTTGTTTGCGTATGGCCAAACATATGGGATGAGCCCTGCATGACTTGATATCCCTTAATTACCGAAAATACTTGCCAGATAGACGCATTCGGTCATCATAACAACACGTATTTAGCACACTGCCATCCGTCTGCGCTGCGGTGCTTAGGGATAGGTACCTTAGTGTCGTCAGCCCTAGCCCTACATTTCTTTCTGTCATGTAAACTCACAGGATAATCTAATAAGGTGAACAATAATTCGACGGAAGATTATGTGTGTGAATCCTTCCGACAACTAGTTTCATTGCGTATAAGCTGACTTTTGCAACATTCAATCGCTGTTTGTTATGCGCAAGTTATCTCCGTTCTCATCCCTTAGTAGCATGCCCCAGTGCCTGTATTGTAATCGGAATATTTCACAATATTCTTCGCTGACTTCACCAGGTGTCTGTACCCAGCTGTGGCCTGCTTCAACAGTAGCAAAGCTTCTCGGGGAGGAGCGGCGTTTTTGGTCAAACTGAGCTAGGCAAACTTCCGCTGAAGTCGCCCACTATGGATGTGGTCATCTGCGAACCAGCTTTCAAGGAGGAAGTAAGATGAATTGCCAGTTGGAAAAGGGCTACAGCTTTACCTGTGATTTCCAAGTTCAGATGATCATCCGCGGCATCCATGGGAAGTCCGCGCGGACACCATTATGCTTGATGAAAGTAGCAGAACTCCGAGCATCTCGAATCTCCGAAGGCCGCTTGATAGTGCGAGCCGTCGATGGAAGTTTCTGCCCAGTCACTTCAAATTCCCCTCGTCTTTCCCGATAAGAGAGCTTGCCTGCTTGCTCTATGCAGGGCCAACTCTGACAATAAGTTTGGCCACTGAATGGTACCGAACGGTACCGAACGGGTGATACGAAGGGGATGGTTGGCATGAGGGAGAGATGCTGCCCAGGCTCCAGGATCGAGCGTGACCATCTCAAACGGTATCGGAAGACTAAGAGGCACCACTCTTGACGGTCGCATTCGCCATTGCGAAGTTCACTTTGGGCAGACTCGTCGCCATCGACACACCTGCGTCATGAGTAAACTTTGTAACCGTGCCTTATTGGCGAGCTGAAACTACTCTAATGGCCGTAACTTTGCATCAGAGCAATAAACTTCAGCTAGAAGCAACTCACCAGGCACCGCACAGAATATCAGAGGATCATGCCTGTCACACATTTGGAGCACTTTCGGTATAGAACCCGACTTGTTGTCCAGTCATCATTCGTGTCTTTGTCATCCCTATGTACACACACTCGGATTTCCCAGCCAAGCCAAAGCCTTTGTAGTCTCACCGAGTGACATGCCCAAGACTTTCTCACCAATATGTTCCACCGAATATAGTTATTGAATTATGGAGTTTTAGTTTACCCACGAGGCATGAAAATGAGTGTCTTGTCGCTTGTAATTTGTCCCGTGTGTTCGCTATCTCCGAACGATTGCTGACTCAAACTGCGCAAAAACCATTTCGTCAACACAAGCTCATACAGAGTTCCTACCAGGAACGGCAAGGGGTAAACCACCACTTCCACCAGGCTTAGGGGGCGGTGTTTGGGGCTTTTGAGGGTTCTGTGGTGTCTGCGGTGCGGGATTCTGAGGCGTCTGAGGCTGCTGGGGAGGAGGAGGAGGAGGGGCTTGCGGCTTGGGAGGTGTCTGAGGGGCAGCACCAGGC